AACCAGAACTGTTCTCTGTTTGAACTCCACCTTCAAAGCTAGCAATGTTGCATCTCTCTGAACACTTTTCTGTGGTTACATCTCCCTCTGATTCTGACCTCTCTTTCTTCTTGAGAGAGCTTTTGTAGTTTGTGTCTTTCAACAAATATGTCCATTGTGTCCAAGTTGTCAAATTTTTGGCATAAAGTTATTATACTTTTATGTCTGTAGGACTGTTAGTGCTGCAGTCTCCAACATGGGTCTCATCTCGGTCATTTGTGTCTGTTCTTCACCTGAGCAATGTGACCATAAGTTTATCGACTTTATTTTCAAAACAAAACAGCTTTTGATTTCATTCATTTCTTTCTCTTACCAAGTTCTGCTCTTATTTTTTTCATGGTAATATTTCTTGCTCAGAAAACTACTTTGTCTGATATGAGTATAGCCACTCTAGCTTTGTTTTAATTAGTTCTACTATGGTATATCTTTTCTCACCTTTTTAATTTTAACCTCTTTACTTATATGAAATGCTTATTTTGTAAGTAACATGTGATTGGTTCTTGCTTATTTAAAATCCAAGATGACATTCTCTGCCTTTTAATTGGTATGTTTATATTATTTACACTTACTGGGATTATTCATATGGTTGGGTTTAAATCTACCATCATGTTGTTTGTTTTCTATTTGCCTGCTCTTTGTTCCTTTTCCTTTTCCTTTTCCTGCCTTCTTTTGGTTGAGTATTTTATGATTACATCCTCACTCTTTATGGCTTTGTTTTTACTCATTGCTTTTAGTGAACAGTATAGTTTTCCCTTAAACAAAATAGGTTTGAACTGCATGGGTCCACTTACATGTGGAGTTTTTATAGTATCGTACTATAAATGTATTTTCTCTTCCTTATGACTTTCTGAATAACTTTGTCTTTTCTGTAGCTTACCTTATTGTAAGAATATAGTATATAATACATACAAATTAACACACAAAATATGTGTTAATTGGCTGTTTATGTTATTGGTAAGGCTCCTGGTCAATAGTAGACTATTGGTAATTACATTTTTTCAGAGTCAAAAGTTATATGTGGATTTTTGACTGCACAGGGGGTCAAGACCACTAACCCCTGTGTTATTTAAAGGTCAACTGCATACATCTTTTTGTCATCACAGTCTGCTTTCAAAGTGATTTATATCATCCCCCTTTCTGGTCTTTGTTCTGTAGTTATCAGGCATTGATTTCTACATATGTTATAAACTCCCCAATATATTATTATTATATTTACTTTAAACTGTCAATTATTTTTTAAAGAGATGTAGAAAAAGAAGAAAGTCTTTTGTAAATATTTACATATTTACCATTTCTAGTGTTCTTCGTTACTTTGTATCGAGCCAGATTTACTCCGGTTTCCTTTTTCTTCTGCCTGAAGGACTCCGTTAGCATTCCTTCTCCTGCAGGTTTGCCAGTATGAATTCTTTCAGCCTTTGTATGTCTGAGAAAGTCCCTGTTTTGCCTTCATTTTTTGAATGGTTTGCTGACTGTAGAAATCTAGGTTGATAGTCCCCCTAAATGATGTTCTTTATTTTAATGGTTTGTTCCATGCCTTCTGATTTGCATTGTTTCTGACAAGTCTGCTGTAATCTTAGTTTGTTTCTATGTATGTATGTTTCTTTTCTCTACTTTTTAAAAAAAGATTATTTCTTATTTGAGAGAGAGAGTGAACTTGAGCGGGTGGGGGAGGGGAGGGCAGAGGGAGAGGGAGAAGCAGACTCCCCGCTGAGCACGGAGCCCTACATGGGGCTCAATCACAGGACCACGGGATCATGGCCTGAGCCGAAGGCAGTTGCTTAACTGACTGAGCCACCCAGGCACCTGTCTTTTCTCTAACTACTTTTAAGATTTTCTCTTTATCACTGGTTTAAAGAAATTTTATTATTGTGTGTTTTGTGTAGTTTTTTTTTAAGATTTGTTTATTTATTTATGCGTTTAGAGAGCAGACTTGCACAAGTGAGGGGACAGAGGAAGAGGGAGAGAGAGAGAAATCCTCAAGCAGACTCCCCACTGAGCATGGAGTTCTACTCTGGGCTCAATCTCCTGACCCTGAGATTATGACCTAAGCAGAAATCCTAAGTCGGGTGCTTAACTGATTGAGCCACCCAGGAACCTCTAGTTTTTGGGGTTTTTTTTAAATGTCTCTTGTATTTTCAGTTTGTCGAGCTTTTTGGATCTGTGGGTTTATACTTCTCATTTGGAAATTTTGCCACCATAATTTTTTGAAAAAAATTGTCTTTTCTGTCTTTCTGGGTCATAATTTCCCATATATTAGCCATTCAGGGTTGTCTCACAGCTGTGTGATTGTAACTTTTTCACTCAATCTTTTGTTGCCTTTTATGTCTCATTTTCAATAGTTTCTACTGCTCTGTCTTCAAGTTCACTAGTCTGTCTTAGCTGTACATCATGAGAAATTTAATTTCTTTTTCACCCAACAAATGGCATTTAAAGAAAACTTCAAACTCTGACACATTTAGTTTTTAGGAGAGGATAGTAATTTCATACTTCCTCTACTTTTTATGTTATGCTTTATCTTGATGACTTCACATACAGTTGCCATTGTCATTGATTTAAAGAGAAGATATTTGTATTTGGCTTCTCTCTTTTCATTTTCTCTTTCAATGAGCTTTGTGAGATAGCAATTCTTTTTTATAATTTAATTTTATTATGTTATGTTAGTCATACATTACATCTTTAGTTTTTTTTTTAATTTTACTGTTATGTTAATCACCATACATTACATCATTAGTTTTTGATGTAGTGTTCCATGATTCATTGTTTGCATATAACACCCAGTGTTCCATTCAATAAGTGCCCTCTTTAATACCCATCACCAGGCTAACCCATCCCCCCACCCCCTCCCCTCTAAAACCCTCAGTTTGTTTTTCAGAGTCCATAGTCTCTCATGGTTCATCTCCCCCTCTGATTTCCCCCCCTTCATTTTTCCCTTCCTACGAGATAGCAATTCTTTTGTTACTTTGCCTGAGAAACCCTGGTACACATAGTGTCCTGTTTTGAATATGATGAAATGACTAAAAACCATGCCATGGTGGTAGACAAGACTCTCCAGACATGAGAGCATAGGCACCATGTCATGTCTCTCCTGAAGAGCCAGAAATTGAGAGAGCCTTGGGTAGGTTGCTGAATGTGCTTGCTTGCTTGCTTGCTTTCTCTCTCTCTCTCTTTCTTTCTTTCTCTCTTTCTTCTTTCTTTCTTTCTTTCTTTCTTTCTTTCTTTCTTTCTTTCTTTCTTCCTTCCTTCCTTCCTTCCTTCCTTCCTTCCTTCCTTCCTTCCTTTCTTTCCTTCCTTCCTCCCTTCCTTCTTTCTTTTTCTTTCTTTTTTTTTTTTTTTTTGAGCTTAATACTTGCAGAGTCTCTGGGTTTCCCCTACCATGTGGAGACAGGTAATATTTACTCCAGCTGGGGAGTATCACGTTTAGACAACACTTTGGAGGTAGAGGATATAGATTTCTCAGGCTCCTTGGCATACTTGGACAAGTCTTAGTACCCATGGGAATGAGGTAAATCTGTTAAGGTTGGAAGCCTGTATACAAGTAAAACTATTTTTAACCTCTCCTGTGATAGCTTTTTGCTTTGCTTCTCCTTTAGTATATAACAGTCTTTCAAGATTTTCAGAATTTTCTTAGCTGGGCCAACAGCAGCCAAGGGGAAAAATATATATATATATATATATATATATATATATATATATATATATATATATATATATATATATATATATATATATATATTTATTTGTGGTGGCATATTGAAGACAAAGATACCCAAAAGGTAAACTTCAGAGGGAGAGGAGTTACTTGGTTGATGACCTTATCCTACTTATAACAAATAGCTCTTTCAGAGCTAAGCTTTGGAGGCTCTTCATTTTGCTGGATGGAGATGCGGGAGTGGTTTCTGACAGGATTTTTCATGGCCCTCTCCCTTCTCCACCCACCCACTGCACATACTCCATCTCCTTAGTGCAGAGCCTTCATCTCAAGTGGTAGGCAACTAATGACTAAGATATTAATTGAAAGAAAATTTAAGGTTTTTTTTTAATTCACACAAAGGGGTACTTGCACTTTATTTTATTTTATTATTTTTTAATTTTTTAAAAGATTTTATTTATTTGAGAGAAACAGAGAGAAAGCACAAGCTGTGGGGGGTGGGTGGGGAAGAGGGAGGGGGCACCTGGGTGGGGCAGAGGGAGAAGCAGGCTCCCCGTGGAGCAGGGAGCCCGATGTGGGGCTCGATCCCAGGACCCTGGGATCATGACCTGAGCTGAAGGCAGATGCTTAACCAACTAAGCCATCCAGGGGCCCCAGTACTTGCATTTGAAATGATAACCCTTAAAGACTAAAGGCTATTCTATGATTAAAGGAATTAATACTTACTGATGAAATTTCAGGTAGAAGGAGATTTACTGGGGACTGGGATCCCACAAAATTGTACTGCTGAGCCTATAGATTTTTATATGCCAATATATAAGCATCTCTCTTAACTTAATCTGTTTTTTTTTAGTGTACCATTCAGAATTAAAATTTAAGATGGTTATTTTAGGGAAATTTTATATATATTTTCCAAGGTAAATAAGTCAACTTAGAATATAAAAAATGATAAATTATATATTTATGGTAAACATCTATAAAATATGTTTGTCAGTGAGTTATAGCAAAATGAAATGGCTATAAGATATGAATGTGAATTGAGGTGCTGTCATGGTTTATCTGTAATATTAGACTTGACTTATGATATATGCAAATTACACGTTCCTAAATCAACATAATAATTCTTTCCAAATTTATGTTCCTAGTGGTTTGGAAATGGGTATGATATTAACTTATTCCTACATTACCTTATTTCAGAAAAGACTTAGCTAAAATGAGCAGATTCTCAAAGTGCCCTCTAGGACACTTAATATGTATGTTTAGCAATATGTGGGATCTCTGTTTTCTAATTTTATTGACATTTGACTTTTAGGTATTTAGAGAGTGACTATCTTCAGATTATCAGAAATATACAGAGCTGTCCATGGAAACGACAAGAAGAAGAATATGAGAATTTTAGGTAAAGAATTTCTTCATAAATATTACGAGATTTAAAAATGTCTTGTGTATTTGCTTTGTATGGGAAATAACGTGTTGTTTGAAGGAAAGTAGAAGGGGCCAGCTGACAATCGGATTGACTTAATCTTCACACCCCCTCCTGAGGCACATGATGCTCCCTCCCCATCTCTTATATAGAAACTTAATTCTGTTATTGGGATTCATTACAGAAAATCTTGAGTTGAAAAAAGAAATTTTAGAGGACATTGCTGCTTCTTTATACCATTTATATTTGCTATTTATTTAGTTTGTAAATAAAATACGGTCGCGTTCTGGAATGTTTGGAAAACATAGAGGGAAAATCTCATCCAAGGTCCCATCACTTCCAAACAAAAACTGTGTTCCTTCCTGTGTTTTCCCTTCCAGTGTTTCTTGTTAGCTCTTAAACCCCAGCCACCTTCAGAAGTGTGAGTTGCTACAGCTAATAACCTGGGGAGGAGCCGTCAACCTGACAAGACCAGGTTATCAGTTGATGATTATAGAGATGTCCTGTCCTTGCATAACGTGGAGCCCACCTGGACAGAAAGAAATTGTGTCCCAACACTGTTCTTCAGGGGTGCATGGAAACTTCTCTGGGACCTCTTACTCCCAGTCGTATCGTACAGCGGGCCAGTTGTCTCTGTGCTTGTGTGGTCCACACTGCTCTGCTTCTCTTGGCCTGCATTCTCATTCTTTGCTAGGCATTCAACACGTGTTTTGTCCGGTGCCAAATTATTTTATGATATTACAGTCCGGAAATATATTTTTATCTTTACTGGTTCAGATTTTCAGACTTTAAGCCTTAAGACTTTTGAAGACCTTCTTAAAGAGCCTGCTTTCCCTGGAGATTCTCTAAGAAGTATCTGCTCCTTGTCTTTCTTTACTGTGGGAGGGCAGCTCTTATTTACACAGTGCTATGGCTCTGCTTGTCTCACCTTCAGTCACTTTATGCTCCGGTCACTGGACCAGCTGCCTTTTAATTCTGCTGCCAGTTTGAGAAGGGTTCGGGCCAGCTCCCAGTGAGTGAAAGAGGAACTTCCTGACTGGGTTAGAGCTCAAAGTGAGTATTTTTCTTCTGTCGGGTAGACTCATGGATGGGTTGACTTCCTGTAGGATACCATTAAGCATCTTTCCTAACTGACCTTTCAGTTAGAGATCCTTGTGTATTTAATTTCCAGGATATTTTATGCTACATAGTCTGATATAGACAGAATGTGTCCCCTCAAAAGTCATAAATTCAAAACCTAATTCCTAATGGGATGGTGTTTGGAGATGGAGCCTTTGGGAGGTGAGTAGGTTATGAGGGCTGAGCCCTCATGAATGGGACTGATGACCTTGTAAGACATCCCAGATTGTCCTTGTGCCCCTTCCACTATGTGAGGACACATTAAGAGATGGCCATCTAAGAACCAGAAGGTGGCCTCTCACCAGACAACTAATCTGCCGGTCCCTTGATCTTGGACTTCCCAGCCTGCAGAACTGTGAAAATAAATTGTTGTTTGTAACAATCCCCATTGATACTGTTCTATTATGGCAGCTCAGATGGACTAAGACATAGTCCTACTCAAGACTAGACTTGAGAGATCCACGTGACCAGGAGACTGGGTAGAAAGTTCATGGGCAGTTGTAACTTAAATGATCACAGGGTCAACAAGTGGCCAAAGAGTCTGGTTTAGAGAGACTTTTCTACATGCACAGAAGAGACAAAAGAGGAAGAGGGAGATATTGAAGTATTGAGCTATTAAAGATTAGTCCAAGATAATCAGCTAGAAAGTGTAATGAGTAGTGACACCAATCACCAAAGTAGGGTGATACCAATCACCAAAGGAGCTTCTCCTTCCAGCTGTGAAACCACCTTAGCTCAGACCTCCTGCAAATAATACAAGGAAAATAAAGTATACTAAATAAGCAAAGTATACTAAGCGAAGTGCACTGTTTGAGGGCACTGGCAAGCTACCAAGGCAGGGAGAATTTTCAGGACTAAAATCCAGAAGAAGAAGGAAGCCAAGGGAGGTGAGCCCTGCATTTAAGGCTGCTTTTTCTCACAAGGAACTTGCTGAATGCAAAAGCATGGCTGACAGGCAGAGAGGCTGAGCAGAGCTTCCAGCAATCCCTAGAAAAGATGAATTTTCTCAATGAGTGAAGCCCAGATTTGAATCATTTCCATTCTCAATTGGATTCAGATCTACCCTAAGCCCAGATGTCTGATAGAAGCAAAAGCAAATCCTTTCTTGAAGAAGGTAACCTCATTCTCAGCCTTACATGATCTCTGCAGATTTTTACACAGGGTCTGGTTCAATTAAAAAAAAAATAATTCTCTTTAAAGTTTTTTTTCCCTTTTTTCTTTCTTTTTTTGTGATAAAAGTCAGGAGTCTCTTCAAATACAAAGCTGCTTGAGAGTCACTGCTGCAAATTATGCTGCCTAGAAGCCGTAGACATGGATGATATGTAGACAGAATGGCCATTTTCTCCTTAGTACCATGTTGGTATAAAAAGTACATCAGTAACCATGATGATTACCCATGGCCTATCTATCCCTCCAGGGCCAATTTAAGTACACATCTGGGACTATAGCACTTATTGTTTGTTGTCATGGAAGAGAACAGTCACGGTGACATTTATTTATTGACTTGAATATTTATTATATTGGAATGTTCTTTTTATGGTCATATTTGTAAACTAAATTATATACACCCTCAACAGAAGTCTGTGCAATTAAATAATAATAAACTGCCTACTTTCCTAAATTTTTACTAATACAGCTGGCTAAATCTGGGGAGTTTCTGGCTTATTTTTAAAACTGGCAGTATAGAAACATCTCCTGTTATTAAAGATGGCAAATTCTCCACTTTCTTTATGTGAACTTCTTATGCCAAGTTAAAGAAGAGCAAAATGTGACCCTTAAAAATGTGATCATATCCTTTTAACAGGAATTACAAAAGGTGCATTAAATTCTGACGAATATGAGCAAGTGAGTATATTCTAAATCCTCCTCCAGCCTGATTGTTTTAACTACCAACAATTGACACTGAGGGGCTAGTGGGAAATTATGGGACTTCTTTGGCCACATGATCTAAAAATAAGACAGCTTTTAAGAGTTATTTTTCTTAAATAAATATGCCACTTGCTAGCAGAGGGGATGAATTTTGTTTATCAACAAATATCTATTTAGGGCTTTACTACATTAAAGCACAGTAGACCCTCTCAGCCTGGTATAGTGCAGGGCACAAAAGTAGGACCTCAGTAAATATATTTCAAATGAATGGACATCTGAAAGTACATAAGAAAAACACAAAGTTTTCTTACCAACCTCAAAGAAATTGTAGCGTTTGGAAAGACAAAAAATAAAACTATGAATACTTATGATTTAGTGTCAAAATGAGTGATTTATATAAATACTGTAATATATCAATGCATGGTCAGTGTGGGATATAACATTTCTTGAAACATTCTGTGGAAAGAGACAGGACTTGAACCGTGACTTGGAGGATGAGTGTAAAGGGAGGGGTGATGGGGTCCAGAGTACACATCAGTCAGTTTCAGGACCAGCTTCACTGGAGCAGGGACCTGTACTGAAGGGTACTTGGGTTAAAGGGAAGACGTGCAGGTAGATAGGGGTGAGCCCAGGACACACAGAGCTCTGATGATCTGAGTAGAGACGACAGATTTCCTGTAGATACCAGAACCTCATGGAGATATTCCTCGCAAGGGTATTACATGATGAATTTATCATTTCAGGGAATGTGTCTGGTCAGAAAAATGTTATGTGAATTGGAGTCTTAGGAGGGAGTGAATAGACTGAAGAAAGCCAGAGTGGTCAGGGGCTGGCTGTAGAAAGATACTGTAGAATGATGAACATCTAGAACATCAGTGGTAGCTATAAAAATATCAAGGAAGGGACACTTGACAGTGAGCTCTTTGGAAGCATGGTGTGTCTTCCTTATTTTTGTATCTCCAGTGCCCATCAGAAAGAGGGAACCCAATAAATGGATGCAGTAGACATGACAGAAGCATTGGCAGGACTTGGTTGCTTTTTGATTCCTAGGTTTCAAATGGAAGAAGAAAAAGAGAATTGAAGACAAATGTGAGATTTTGAGTCTGTTTGATTGGGATAATAGTAGTGCTAGTGAAAAGCAGACAGACTTCAAAGGGAGATAGCTTTTGAGAAGATAAGTCCACGTTGAGCAGGCTGCGGTCAAGCAGACACCGGGACAGCCAGATGTGGAAGACATTTCCTTACTATAATTAAGAGAAATTGGACTTTCCTGAAGAAAAAAAGGTGAGTGTAGCCTAGAGCTGGCTTCTGTAAGAACTATGGCCCTGTATGGAAGGGAGTGGCATGATGTATTCAAAGTGCTGACAGGAAAAAATCTGAAACCAAGAATATTCTATCCAGCAAAGCTATCAGTCAGAATAGAAGGAGAGATAGAGTTTCCCAGACAAACTAAAGTTAAAGGAATTCATAACCACTAAAGTAGCCCTACAAGAAATGTTAAAGGGGACCCTTTGAGTGGAAAGGAAAGACCACAAGCAAGAGTAAGGGAAGTAAGAAGCATAAAAACAGTAAGAAAAATTATATCCATAAAGATCAGTCAAAGGACTCACACAATAAAAGGATGTGAAGTATGACATCATAGACCTAGTGTGGGGAGAGAGGAGTAAATGATGGGTTCAAACATAAGAGACCATCAACTTAATATGCTATATAGAGAACATGTTATATGCAAACCGAACGGTAATCAGAAATCAAAAACAAGTAATAGATATGCAAAAAAATAAAGAGAAAGGGATCCAAGTATATCATTAAAGAAAGTCAACCATAAAGCAAGTAACAAAATGGCAATAATACATACCTATCAATAATTACTTTGAATATAAATGGACTAAATGCTCCAATCAAAAGGCAAAGGGTAACTAAATAGAAAAACAAGACCTATCTATATGCTGCCTATAAATAGAGACTCATTTCAGACCTAAAGACAC